TTAGCAAAAGTAAAAAGTCCTATAATTAATAATTTAAATAAAAACATAAGTATTAATTACTTTCCTTTATTTTAATAGCTAATATTTTTAAATATTATTAAAAGATTTGGTATATAGGGAATTTTCTATAATTAATAAATTAAATAAGGGTATAAGCACTAATTGCCTTTTTCTCCTCCTTTTATTTTAATATTTAAGATTAAATATTACTAAAAGGTTTAATACTTACAAATAGGTTTTAAGATTAAATATAAGTATATAAGCAAGCTTTTTTTTTCTTATATTCCATAAGTTTATTAAGTAATTATAATAAATAATTAGTTAAAATAAGTATTTAATAACGCCACTACATTTATTTTAATATAAAATATAAAAGTTTTATATAAATATTAATATTATTAATTAAAATATTTAAAATAAACTATTATTTTATTATTATTATTTTAATATTTAATATTAATATAATTATAATCTTAAAAGTATTTATTTATTTAATAACATAATTTTTAATTCCTAGCTTAATATTTTTAAAATATTATTAAATATATATTAAAAAAGATATATTAATATTAAATAAAACTAGCTTTAAGTTTATATATAAAATTTAATAAAACTTTATTCATTGCTTTAAACTTTAAAAGATCCTTATTTATTAGGATATAAATAAATAAGTTAATATTATTTAAAAATATAATTAAAATATGCTTTTATTATAACTTTATACTTTCCTTAACTTATAAATTCCTTAATATTTTCTTATAAAAAATAAAAAGATAAGTTTATAATTAATAAAAGAAAATATACTTAAATAATTTTAAAAAATTATTAATTAAAATTATATTAACTTCTTTATATTTAAATTAAGAAAATAATTACCAATAAATTTAACTCTTTATTAAAAAATATAATTAAAGATAAAAAAGATTTTTCTTACTACTTATAAAGGTTACTTAGAAGCGCAATTAATTATATAAATAATATATTATTATAAAAAATAATATAAAAGAAAGAAATAAGTAATTTTTGAAGAAAATAAAGAAAGCATTATTTTACCTTTAAGTTTTAAAAAGTAATATGCTTTAATATTAATAGAAATAATAATTATAATAAGAAATTATAAATCCTTATTTAACATATTAATTATTTATATTTTTATATTTATATTTTATATATTTTTTATAAATATTCTATTAGGTAAAAGATATAGGTATAAAGTATATGTTTTAAAGAAAATATAAAATTACTTTTATTAATAATATAAGGATAATTTAAATTTAAAGGCAATTTATTTTTAAGGATAACTTAACTTTAAAAATAACTTAACTTTAAGGATAACTTATTTTTAAGGATAGCTTATTTTTAAGGATAACTTATCTTTAAGAATAGCTTATTTTTAAAGATGGCTTATTTTTAAAAATAGCTTAACTTTAAGGATAACTTAATTTTAAAAATGACTTAACTTTAAGGATAGTTTATTTTCAAATATAACTTATTTTCAAAGATGGCTCGAATTTAAAAACAACTTATTTTTAAAAATAGCTTAACTTTAAAGGCAACTTATCTTTAAAAATAACTAAAAATAAATAATATATAATAAGTAAATAAAAATATAGTACTATAAAAGGTTTAATAAGCCTTTAAAAAACCTAAGTTAAAAAGAAAAAAGGATCGAACATATAAAGAAAAAAAAAACAATATAAACATTAAAATATTAATTATTAATAATTTAAATAATAATAAAATATTAAATACTTACTTAGGTAATAATTAAAGCATACGTATAAATTTAATGTTATAAATTAAGCAAAGTACATTTTTTATTATCGCTCCTTTTTTCCTAGCTTTTATTATTACTAATTAATATATACTTTATATAAATATATTAAATTTATATCTTTGCATTTACCTATTTACTTTATTTAATATTTATATATTATACTTACTTATTAATAATAATAAAGTTATTTAACTTATAAGCCTTTTATTTAAGTTATAACCGGGAAATATAATATCTTATATTTAATAAAATATCCTTTAATTTTATACTAATATTTAATAATTAGTTATATTTTAATATGTATTTATATATAATCTATTATTTTATTAATCTTAATTATTCCTAAGAGTAATATATATACTACGCCAAATAAATACTTATATAATACTTGAAAAATTAGCAATAATTACATTTATATTTACGAAATTAACTAAATATTAAAATATATATTAATACTTACTTTTAAAATATATATATTCTTTTTTTAAACTTTACTCTTATATAATATTTATTTATTTATTAACACTTATCGTTTATTCCTATTTACTAATTAATATTTACCATAAGTTTAGTTTTTAAAAAACTTATTATGTTAAAGCTTTATATAACTTATTTAAAAAGATTAAACCGAACTAGGCTTAGTACTAATTAAAAAGCTATTTTTAACGTTATATTTCGAAAGTGAAAAATTAACTTTATTAAGTAAAATAACGAAACTTTTAGCCTTTTTAATACTAACTTAATAATCCTTAAAACCGTAAATAATAGCTTAGGCTTTAATTAAAATTAGGTAAAAACTTTTAACTAAAATCTAGTTAGAAAAGATTATTTCTTAGCTAAATTTTAACTATTTATTAATATTTCTTTTTATAAAAAGATTAAAGATAAGTTAAATATAATAATAAATAATATAAACCTTATTAAATATATAAATTAAATCTTAATTAAGGTTAAGAAAATATATGTTAATAATATTATTACTTTAATAATTAATAATTTAAACATATAAGTATTTTTATTATATATATATATATACGTATATTTAAAAAGAAATATTAATAAAAATCATAGCTTAAAATTAAATAAACTTTTTTATTAAAAAAATAATATTAATACTAAATATATTATTACTAGGAAATTAAACTTATACCCTCGCTTATTTTTAATTATAAAAATAACTTTTTATTAACTTTTTTTAACTATAAAAATTTTTCTAATATATTATAGTTATATATATAATAATGATTAATATTATTTTACTTTTAAAATATACTTATAAAAATTATAAAATAAATAAAAATATATTTTAACATTATATTATTATATTAAATTATTTAAATAATGCTTATATTAAGTATTATTATAATAATAATAAAAGTAAATATTTTTATAAAACTAATATATTAAGTATTAATCATAATAATATTTATTAAAATATAATTATTATTTTAATCTTTATAAACATTAATAAGTATAAAAAACTAATTAAACCATTTTTAATAATTATAAAATTAAATAAATTTTGTTTAATTATTAATAATAAAATATAATTTATTAAAAATTAATAATATAACTTTAATATTTTATTTAAAGTATTTAATAATATTTTAACTTAGCTTTTTATCTTTATAAATTAAGTAAAGGAAATAAAACATTAAATTCATTTATAACTTTATATAATTATTTAAATATATTATTATTATTATAAATATCGTTTTTAAAAGTTTAATTTATAAGAAAATAATTATCACTTAATAAATAATTATTTAATAACTAATATTATATATTGCTTATAGCTAATTATAAGGCTTTAATTATTATTTAACTTTTTATTTAATTTTTATGTTTAAAAAATAATATATTAAAATAAAATTTATATTATTAAAATTACCTTAATTAGCTTTTTTAAAAAATATAAATCTTATTTATATATATTTAATAATATTAAAGTTATTTATATATCTTTATAATAACCTTATTATAAAATATAATATAAGTAGGCCTAAATATTATAAATTTTGAGAAATCATATTTATTAGCGCGTTGGCGGATTATCATCACTTGGTCCGGGGTGTAGGGAGCTATCGCGCTATCTTATCAGGCTACAGTAGCAGAGTAGGTACCGTGACTGCGCGAGCTTTAGGTTCTTTTTGACCGCGAACATTCAATCAAGTGCAACAACCTACCATCTCCGGCTCTCACCATAACTCTGCACAAATCCCGATAAGATGGCGCCCGCACAGCCAGAGCTCAAGAAGGTTTGTTTCTCAATCCCATTGCAATTCGCGACGTCAGGCTTACCGATATTTTCTAGTACCTCGACAAGAGACTATTCGTCCAGCTGAATGGGAGCCGCAAGGTTCTAGGCATTCTCCGCGGTTACGATGTGAGCAATCCTCCAATCTACTTTTCCCTCATTCCACGCGTCGCACATGGCTATCTTCCCATACATAGGAGCTGATTTTTCATCTAGGTGTTCTTGAACATTGTTCTAGACGACGCCGTAGAGGAGAAGGACGGAGGCGAGAAGGTCAAGCTAGGCATGGTCGTACGTGTTTACCAGTACCGACACGCGAAAATCGATATTTGCTAACAGCCGTTCTAGGTCATCCGAGGCAATTCCGTCGTCATGCTAGAGGCACTGGAGAGAATTGGTGGAGATCGTGACAAATGAGAGCCCCCCACGACATGAAATACGCAAACATCCCGCCCAGTCTGGAGTTGATACCCACATGAAAGTGACTAGGAGTGCATTTAGCTATTTCAGTGCCTAATAGCTTACGCATGGCGTTATTACGGACGGCAAAACCGAGGAGGAAACATACCCGCATATAGGGACGATTCAGCAGTTGCGTCTGCTAAAGGAATCAACTGCTCTTTGAGAAGTTCAGGTCTGTAGCCTATATAGATACCACACATAGAATGGGCTCACAGTCTACCTCTCTAATACTATTCACGCTAAGGAATATGCCTGATTTATAACATTTCCCTCTACCTCGGTCCGTGAAGCACATTTTATTCATGCTAGCTAATCCATCATAGGTGGTTAACCTAGAATATCGAGTTGGGTTATGAGCTATGGGCGAGAATCAGAGTCCATTCCAACGAGATATTGGCAGATATGCAAGGACCCACTAAAACAAGGACCTAGACTCCAGAGACAAACGTAAAAAATGGAGCAAAAAAAGATTTTCAAGTTGCACTTCTGCTTTTCAAGGAATAATGTCCTCGGTGAGACTCGAACTCACGACCTTTGGATATCCCGATCTGGTTGACTGGGTCATATCTCTATGAGACCAACGCTCTAACCAACTGAGCCACGAAGACAGATGTTATTGGTTGACTTAATGAGCCTGATAGACCATTGCTAATAGTTGAGGTTACCCACTTAGACTATTATCGGTATCGTGCTAGACGAGGGAAGGGAAGAGAAGAAAATAACGACCAGATTATTACCTACCTAGGTAGGTAGACTATACCTCGAGTCGGTCCTTTGGATACGGTGATATAGCTTATGTAATTCTACGGTATCTGTTTCATAGATTTCTGTAGATGTATCAGGTGTAATAATCTATATCGAAAGCATAACCCAAGACGTCCACGTCCTATACGTTGAGCTTCTTGTTAAGTAGCTTCCTACGTAAAGCCGCTCGCCAGTCTATCGAATATACTATGATATTAGTTAAGTAAACAGTGGAGTACTTAAGTTAGAAACACGTGTAGTAAACCATATAATGGGGATGCCGGTTTCTTACTTCACCCAAATGGTGGAAGAAAGTCATAGGTACCTACTAATAGGGTCAAAAATAGAAAGATAAATCTACCGATCTATCTGGTAGTTTGGTGAATTGTCTTTATATGGGTATGGAGCCTTATACATTCTCAATTTATCCCTAATTAGATTCATTCGAGTACAGGTACCTATACCACGATTTGTCTCACTCCTACCTGTGCAACGTTTACCGCCATGCACAGCGGGCAGCGAAATTATTAAAATCTGGGTAGTTTAGAAATATACATGCATATAGTACATATACTCATTTGACGTTAACTTGGTTAAGACAGTACTTGAGTGGTATTATAGAATCTTAGGTAAAGAAAGTGGAATAAATTTGCAATAAACGCCCGATTTTTCGCTGTCTATCGGTTTATATGATCTAGCCATCTACAGGCCGGATATTCTCAAGTCAGTATCTTCACCAAAAACATGCCTCCAACCTCCTAAACCACCTAGATCAAATGGTAGTCTCACGACGTTCCGGCGGCACAGTTCCTGCGAGAGCCGACTTCGCTCCGTCCATCTTCTTCGACACAGCGCCCAGAACTGCCTTAACCATGTCGTCCGAACCAAAGCTGGCAGGCCAACCACGCCACGTAACCGTGTCTACAATATCCCTCGTGCCCTCCTTCTTCCACATCTCATCATCAGCGTGCTCGAACTTACTTCGCGCTTCCTCGTTATCGCCTAGCTGGAAGAGCATCACGCCCAGCTGATGCAGCGGCGCCTTCATGTTGTCGAGCTCCCTCGCAGCATCAGTCAACGGGCCCGCAAAGTCGTCGTCCGTTATGCCGGCTGTGATGACGATGACATTGAGGGGAGGGCGTTGCGGATCCAGTTTGAGCTGCTCAATGTACCAAGATAAGATCTTCTTCAGCCGCGCGCCTAGCTTGCATTTGCCGCCGGGCTTGACGTCCCGGAAGATACCTTGCGCACTGTCCCGCTTGCCGGTGTCGCTGTGGACTTGGCCGATGTGGTTATAACCAGACTTGCGGACTGACATGCCGGGGAAGTAGAACGTGGGTCGGTGGTTGATGAAGTAGATGTCGATGCCATTTTCGTCATATTTGAGACAGATTGGGGCGACGGCCTGGATCAAAGCCGATACATCGCTCCACTGTCTTTTCATATGCGAGGAATCGTCGATGATGAAAAGGGTCTCAAAGTATTGTAGAAAGGAGAGTAGCTCGGTGTGTTCAACGCCAGGAGCTTGGGGAACCCCCGCCGTATCATCGTCGTTGGTGTATGTAGCCATGTTTGCAGATTAACCCTGTCGCAAGAGGAGGGGCAGATATGTATAGCAGGAGGATATAATATGACTCTTAAGCAGGCAGAGTAATAAATATTTGATGTTTATATCGTTCTTTTTGTCCCTGCCAAGCAAAGCATGCGTTGGGCGTGATTTGGTAGGTCCCAACACGAAGTTGCCGTGCTGTCAATCTGTTAATCCCCCGCATGAATGGGGACTTTTCGGGGGCTCGTTTATTGTGGAGAATTGGTAGTATGTAGGGTTGACCGACATTTGGTGATACTTCGGCACGATGTATCCATGTAAGTTTATTCGTCGATTGGTTATCAATTTCATGGGGCTCAAACAGTGACTGTATTGGTTACATTTGTTTCTAATTTCCCAAACATGTGGGTCTCAAGACTTCCAAGAAGGATACGCCTTTGAGGTTGATCTGATAACCTGCTGTAGTGCAGTTAACGCAATAGTATCCTAAGCTCCAAGCTCCAGGACAACTTTGGCGATCTTGGTGACGAAATATTTGCCGGCTGACAGATCCATTCCTGACGCAGTGGTAAATATGTCGGCAACCATGTTTTCATCAGGGGCTGTCTTGACGAAGAGGTCGCGCGCATACTGGGTCAATATGCTGAAGCTTGCCGTGTTCGGTCGCGGTAAGGGGACGTTGACACTATCAATGAAATGACGAATACAAAAAGGAACAAGTCAGAAATTAGGTGGCTTCCTATTGATAGAGTAAGGTTGAGCGGGTGGTCGCTGAGAGACCAATACTTCGCAATGACATGCAGTAAACCACTTGAAGTTCTAGCCTTGACAAACGACTATCGCCAATTGCTGCTGGCTTGTCTACCATGCGTCACTAGATAAATATGTTAGCTCTTGCATTAAGAGATAGCTGACTCGCAGAGTGAGGTGACTCTAATAAGTTCTGCGGAAGCAAGCACCCATGATACCACTACCAAAAATTATATAATAGGTAGGTAGCTCAAGTCAATGTCACATTGCCTAAGGGTCTCAGATCTCGTGCCCTCCCTGTCGATCACTTTCGAACCGAATTTCACTTTATTTGCAGCCCCCTTCTAAAGCGGTTCACAATGCCCCAGATTATTACTGACAATGATTTACCCGAGTTAATCAACACTCCTTCAAAACGGGCCATGAAGGCAAATCAGCTGGCTATTAAGCATCTAGGTATTGGAGTAAAGTCTGTTGATAAGCCTCCTCCACAGGGGGTGTTCAGCAGGACCATGTTTCTTACCTTAGAGAATGACAGAAAGGTGGTCATACAATTCCGTACGGAACCGCTAGACCTCGACGCATTCAAAATCGCAAAGGAGGTACTGGGGTCGGTTGTTCCCTATGCCAGAGCTCTTAGGGACGAAGAATTGGAGAGACAGCGCGCCTGGGCCTCCCTTTTTCCTCGCATGCCGGGCGAGACGTGGTTTCAAGGGGTCGCTGGCCGACGCGCCGCCGACCGTATTGCAATCAACAAATCTCTCGGCCGGATCTTCTCGAAGGGTTTCCTTGCTGATAACAGCAGTAAGGCTGTGGATATACTTCGTTTCCGTTTGCGTACCCTCTTGACTTCTCAATTAGAGCAAATTCGCCCTCATAGAGACACGATTAAAGGCTTTCTTAACAATATTGAAGAGCTTGCTAGACTCCCGATGTGGATTGCACATAACGACCTCAACGAGATGAACGTGCTTGTTGATAAAAATTGCACCGTCACAGCCTTGGTCGACTGGGAGCTGTCCACCCCATTGCCCTTCGGAGTTGGCTTCGGTCGTATTCATACTCTTGCGGGCGAACTTATTAAAGGCGAGTTCCGGATGCCTGCAGAGTTTGAGATGGCTGAAAGAGGATTCTGGGATGAGTTATTTGGTGGGATGTCAAAGGAAACTCGCAAGATGCTGGAAGAACATATCAACCTAGTTCAAGATGCGGTTATCCTCGGGACCTTGTTGGATTGCTTCTTCTTTCAAGACAGCGGAGACTGGGGTTGTACTGCCCGCTTGACGGTGCTTCCCAAGTTTCTTACCTATCGAATTCCCTTCGTTAGAGGGAATGAACCCCCATATAAAGACTAAAATAGGCCTGTCTCAACTAGAGAACTATTCGTGCGTTCTTTTCGTGAAATACTCTAGTCTAGTGAGAATTCCCGTCGAATGACTTAATCTCAAGCCTACGGGCAGTGCCAGGATTTTTTAATAGATCTTTAACGTCAGCTGAAAACAATTGGATGTTGGGCGTTCTCCGATTTCGTCCATGGTATATGACCACTGCGGGGATTCTGCGGCCTACCTAGCTTCCCACGCTTCGAGATAAAACCCTAGATCGATTTAGACACTGTGACGTCTCCGAGGCGGTAGTCAAGGATACACCATAGGAACTTGCAAGGTGTTTATTAACATGTACAACCGAGTACGTAAGTAATGAGAAGTTGGAGTGTCTGACTAAGAGTAGCTCCTTGACGTCTCGGTTCAAAAGAGGGGGTTTAAGTCTGTTGCTCTTCTCAAGGCCCCGAAAATGTGATAGCCTTGTAATCTCCGGCGCCAACAGACGCCACATGGGGGTTCCTTAGAACCAATTTACAAGGGGTCAGCCAAAGCCCTATCCCCTACCGCTACAGGGATTGGAAAGATGCTTGTACGACACCGCCAGGACGGATTAGGGCAGTCGATACGACCCTGAATTTTCGCTCCCTCCGAACGTGGTTAACGTCACACACACATTTTCCATGGTGTAGTCTTTCAGGAATATAGAGTATCATGGGAGATCACCTCGTCTGAACGTTCAGCCCTTCAAGGAGTCTAATACTAATACCTTCTATTGGCTTATGCCGGTGTATGTACTTGACTTACCTCCCTTCTATCTCTCAATCCGTGAAAAGTCGGTTTGCTAGGATACGCAATTAGGTAGTCATGAAAAGGATTTCACCAGTCAGCCTTACAATCCAAGAATTGGTAGAGAATTGTCTACGCATCCCCGCCACTTGCGGACTCTGTCGGTACTGCGCTACGTCTTGACTGCGCTTCTTCCGGCTATGAATATGCGTGGAATGGGCCTTAGGCGTAGTCATTATGCTAAAGAGATAATCGTTCTGCCCCTTTCCTATAAATGATGTGCATTCAATTTAAACACAAATTGGACATCTTATCCAGAACCGTCCGTAGCACAAGTTGTTTAATATAGTCGCCTTAAGCTATAGGTTAATCCTTTTTTGCAACTGTACACCCTGAATGCTAAATGATGACTGCAGAATTGGAGCACTCCGTTGCACTTGAGGGCCTTCCAGCT